TCAGGAAGGACACATCGCGCTCGACCACCGAGCTTTGAGATGGCTAACGCCACGTGCTGTTGCTCGATCTGGGGCATGGCAGATGCGATAACCATCTCGACCTCTCTCATCCAGAGCAGGAGATTCTTTTCATCCTTCACCTCAAAGACCTTAACGCTCACCATGAGCAGCTTAGGGCGGGGGAAATCACCCGTTACTGACGGTGACGTCATAGACGCAAACGATGCAGATATCTTCTGCTGCAAGTGCTCTAGCAGCGCGTTTTCGTAATTTGAAAACGCCCCTAGACGCCCACCGATTCCCTCGGGGCCTTGCGCAGCAAGGTGATGCACGCCCTCAGGGCCAAGCAAGGACATCAGCTTCCCAAGCCGTCCTACATGCCCTGGGGCAAAGAGGAACATTATTTCATCCTCACAGCGGATCAGTCTCAACGACTCAGGTGTAGATTGACTACTAGTGCTACTAAGTGCAGCGGGGCTGCCGTAGCTTTGCGCTTAGAGGAAGCGTAAGTTAGGTCATTGACGTATCGTTCTAAACCTAGAACAAGTACGAGTTTAGCGGATTGCAATCCTCTAACTCCAAGAGTAATTACAACCTTTACTCAAGGCTAATTAACTCTTCCGCTTAAATCCGAAACTGACTTAATTTACTTTTATCTGCGGCAAAGCCGCCTAATTTTGGTATTGATCTCATCTGGATACCAATGAACAGATGCGTCGATACGATGATTTGATTAAACAAAGATACTTTTCGATGCATGACCCGTTCATGCATCGAAAAGTATCTTTGTTAAACCATGTGACTTGGCGAGCCCTACTGTAACAATCATTTGGCTAGCAGTGTGCAATTCATCGATTGCTTTTAATTTACTTACCACGCAAGAACATATTGTCAATAAAGTAGTAACCAGGCAGCTGTTTATAGTAAATCTAAATATTTGTATAACTACTGGCTATCCAGCCCCGTACCGTATTCTTGTTGGGTGTGGTCACACCATGCCCATCTGGTGTGACACACACCCCTGTTACCAGGGTATATGTAACCCCGTTACAATTATGCCCTGCTCGCCACCCTCTTATCGGTAATATGTTTTAAGAGTATGCAGGGTCGACCACTGAATGTCTTGCAGGGTAACGTCGAGTTCCGGTGGGAACGAAGCTATTCAAGGAGGGAGCCTGGGCCTTCGTGATCCTTGTGAAGAATGAGTTCAATTTTCAGAAACAAGCCATTCTTGCTAAGAGTTGTGGGGACTACAGCCTCGGACCGTTTAGTGAAGTCCAGAAGATATTTATAAATAATGAGGTCAGTCGTGTCACTATTTACGACTAGCAGCTGTTAAAACGTTGACACCACGTGAGGGCTACAAAGACGTCGAATAAAGATATGGAAATATTTAAAGTGTGAAGGGTTCATTGAGACACTTTGTTAGGATGTAAAGACTTTGGCAGACTTGAACGCCAAATGGCTCTGGACCTGGATTAGATCACGATCTCATCATAGACAAGGCGTGATTAAGACTTCATGAGCAAAATTCGACTGGAAGTCGAATCGATTTAGGGCCACACACTCCGCTTTGAATGGAGCTTCGACAAATCATTTTTTGCCAGGAAGCAGGTCGCCGGCATTATCCTGCGATAGTTCTGGAACAACAAAATCTTGTTTGAATCCATTAGCAAAGCTTGTTCAAGGCCTTGATCTTCGTAAAGAAAGCAGTAGTGACAGTGAGCCACTTCGGTAACCTTTATGAGTATACAGAAACTAGCAATTGTTTGTCATATTTTTTTTGAGAATATGGGATACATGTAGTCACCACTGTACAGTGGCGGATAAATGCCCAAAGAATAGTTCTCATAGGACGTATATAAGCGACTTGGTGTCGTGGACTCCCGGACAAAATTTTGGGGTACAGTGTTACAGTAAGGTGCTGTCTTCCGTACAAAGCACGATACGCAATTGGTTACAGAGTAATTCTCCCAGTCGGTGCTGATGTTCTGTATCAGGAAGGCTACTGGCAAGTGCTTAAGGCTCTCGTCAAATCTAGATGCAGCTGCCATCTCTATTCAAACTCATTGTTTACAGTACTTATGCTGTAAAGCAATAAGATCAGCTGCGCTTTATCTAGTGCGCGTGATCTAGTATAATGAATACGACGAACTGCTCACGAGATTCGGTGACATCATTCTCATTGCATAAGCACTTCTGGTGGAATGCTTTAAGAATTGCTGTTTTTGCCCGGAAGCTGTCGATCAAAGCGTTCATACGTACCTAAGCATAGACCTATATCGACAAAATTTGTCCATAGTCGCGCTGAGCAGGGACAGCTCGATGCGGATTGCAGAATTTGCCGTGCACTATGTACAGAAGAAGCTTTGACTCTAATGGTCAGCATCACTAAGCTCACAGATGTAAATCTCCGTCGACCTTACCGGAAACAACACAAAGAGTTTCTATCGTGATTTCATGTCTGTTGACTCTAACACATAGTTATCTTCACTATGTGTCAGAGTCAACGAAAGGTTTATGCTGCTCAGACTACCAACTATGTAAAGTATTTATCTCAAATGATAAATGTATGAATACGTATACATATAAACTACTCAACATTGCAAAGCTTAAATTCAGTCCAACTTACGCTCAAAGTCGAGTTCGATTACAAAAGGACGAGACGAGTATGGCGTCGAACGAACTGGCGTCAATTCTTGCTCGACGCCGTGCTAAAGCCGGCGGGGAGAGCGAAGCTCCAATCCCTTTAGTTGAGCAAAGTACTTCCCCAGCAATGGCGTCTACCCCAATGGCGACAAAAAGCTCTATTGCGGAACGGATCGCACTTCTAAAACAACAAAATGAAGCAGCCGATGTGGCAGCCCCCGCACCTGCGGTGCCGCAAAGTAATATTTTAACGCCAGAATCAACAAAGCTATCACAATCGACAGGTAGCAGTGTTCTTGACATCGGCAATGAGAAAGCAGCCGCAAAAGCGATGGATACGTCGGCGATAACTGCTTCAAAAGAGGAAACGGGCACCGGTAAAACTTTAAGTAAGATCCAACAATTGCAAGGTAGTTTGGGAATCGGTATGAACTCATTTGGACGTCCAAAGGGTCCCTCTAGTGGTAATCGGAGTGGCCAACGTGAGTCCATTATGAGCACCGGTGAGGAGCACTATGGACACACACAGCACGCGATGGGTGTAGCCATGCCTGGCTTGACGGGCTCTGCTATCCCCATGCCAGGGCTAGTAAAGAGTAATTTTCGACTGCCTGGCACGGCAGGTGGAGATTTACAGAGCACCGAGACTTCGGCGAATCTGGACAACTCTCACGTAAGTACAATTATGCATTGAGATACATTACATTCTCTGGTCCTGATCTGGTGATAATTAAACAGGCGACCATGAATCGTGTTGCAGGACCAAAACGTCGTGGTCCCATGCGACCACCACCAGGAGCTTTTCGACTTCCGGTACGTACAATGCTACCGATAGTATTTCCTTTGCTAACCTTGATACAACCATTAACGTAGACAACGGCTGCGCCGAGCCTCGATAATAGTGAGCCAGCCCAGTCACTAGTTAATGAATCTGCTGAAGTTACTGCACCATCTCGTGATGAAGGTTTTGAGTTAAAGGCTTCTAAAGCACCTGTTCAGGTATCACCACCACCTGCACCTGATAGTTTGTATGCTAATCCGGCCTCAAAAATTCAGCACAATGTTGTATCATCAGCATCCGCGTCAACAAACGCAACTTCTCCAGCGGCCTCTTTACGTAAATTGCCGGAGCCTGAAGCGATTCCCCCCATGAAGCCTTACCAGATTCAAGACGATGATCCATATGCGCCAAAATACGATGATTCTTCTGAGCAAAATCGGTATGCTCCAACTGGTTTCCCAAGCGCACTGATGGCAAACTTTTCCATGGACGAACTTACAATCGACAAGCCAGTTTCAAGGCCAGCAGCCACGTCGACACCGAAAAATGAGCCCACATCCGACATTTTGTTGTCTCGTCCGACGCCCGAATCTACTCGGTCAGAGCCAGCTCACACCCCTGCACTTGTGTCAGCAAGCAATCGATATCCTTCACCTTCACCAGCATCTGAGCCTGTACCTCTGGAAGTTTCGCCGCATGTTCCGGTGCCTATGGCCCCTACAGCGTCACCTTCACCCGTTTTCGTGACGTCAACACCTCTTACAACGCCTGCACCTACACCTGCACCCGAATCTACTCCGAAAGCCATGGCTGAGGAAAAACCAACATCAAGTTTGGCATTATTTGGTGGTACTGCAGATGATGATAATTCAAGCGAAAGTGACTGGAGCGACGAGGACAATGATGGTGAAAACCAATCGCTGTTTGGCGCGCAGGATGAAGCTCCCAAGCTAGCAGCTCCTGCACCAGTTTCGTCTACTTCGTCTCAGCCCAAGCCAGAGTCTCACGAAGCCACTAGCCTCTTTGGCGGTCCAGCCAGTACTGCAGCAATGAGTGCTTCTCCAGCTCATGGCTTCGTGCGAGCCACACCATCTCAACCTGCTATTCCCCCAGCACCTTACAGCTCACTTTTTGGCAGAGCTGCGAGTAACAGCAGCGAAAGCGACAGTGACAGTGATGATGCGAGCAACCTTTTTGGTGCGTGAGAGCTGTAATAGCGAATCAATCACGTAAGGAGAAGATGAAAGGGATGCACAAACGGGCAAATTTAGGGGTCTGCTTGTGAATGTCCTCTTGATTCAAGCTGAAGTACCTTCAATGAGATTCTGTTCTAGTCCTTAATACGATATTTCTAATTATTTGTAAATCTTGCTAACAACACCAATTACCTTGACACCTGATTAACGCTGCAATAAGAGAGACAAAAGCCGACAAACTTGATTGAATCGCTGCAAAGTAAAAACGCACTCTATAATGAGCAAACCTTCAAACGCTCAGTGCCAATACTCGCGAAATATCGCGTTAACACCACCTTTTTTGTCATCTAATCTCCTGCCACGTCTCGCAATTTAAGATGCTTAATGCACCGGTCCGCGACTATATAATTTTTTCCCTCACCATTTCTGCGCAGGTGCGATCTTCTCAGTATTTATGTAAAGCATATCTTCGATTTTAAAGTATCGGCCCCAGAAATAGGCTTTGGATCCACCCACGGCACCAATCTTTCCTTGTGCGGTGACCAGTCGTTGTACAGGAAGATAAGCGGGCGAGTCTGGGTGCAAGAACGTTTTACGAGAACGTGCTTTGTTGTATACCAACATGGGATGGATAGTACTCAACGATCCATCGGACTCAACAGCCACTTGAATCTTGTAAATCTCACCAAGTGATCCCTCGGCATCACCCTCCTCGTTTGTAGTCATGCGGATCACAGCCTGGTATGGAAAATCTTCCAGTTTCGATGCAGGCTCATCTAACTTTACAGGTAGCCACACCATATCATCGGTAGCTCCAGCGACGTCGACACTTCCTTCTCGCAGCGATTTTGAGTTGCCACCGACAGTCATGAGCTTCACAGGCGTCTTGTCTTCCTCCCCTGATGGTGAATTCATACCGAGTCTGTGCATGTATCGTTTCACGCGCTTAAAAGGCACGCGCGCAAATTTTCCACCATGTGAAACAACTTTGTCGTGCATGCGCTTGACACCATAGTCGGGATGTGCAAACTTGATTGCCTTAATAAGTGCCGTGAGCTCATCGGCGTCCACATCGTCGGGACTACGAAAAGGTGATCGAGACGGCGACGAGCGTGGTGGTGATTGCTTTGGCGTGTGAGGAGCAGAGTCATTGGTCTTGGGACTTGCGCCAACCATGATGAAGGTTGTGTAGAGGAGTGCAAGTAGGGGGAAGATCGAAGACTGAGTTGCGGCTATCTACTCGCTGGACACATGAATTAAAAATTCGTTTTGAACAAAAATAAGGAGTACGTATTTTACGTCGTGTACACTACCAATTGACAGTATCGATTCACGATATCCGCAAACAAGTACTGGATATTTCTGAAAAGGAAAAATGAGAATGACAATGAAATAACCGAGGTCAAAATTTGATGAGGATATGACTATGACAATACCATATAAAAAAGAGTTCTGGTGGATAAAATCGTTATGAAATGGTGCCAAAAGGCCCGCAAAGGTTACCACGGAAGCGGTTGGGCATGAGGCGCTTGTGTGCCTGGAGACTTCGTTGCTGGACTTAACAGCGATTAATGGATCCAGCTTTTTCTACCTGGTTTGTTGGATTGGGCGACAATGAACGCAAGCTAGGTTCTTCGCCATTTTTAAAGAGGATCACATTGAATGGTAAGATTACTTGCAGTCTGTTGTGCGACCTTTAGATTCATGCACAACCAAACGAGATGAATAGAATACACAGTTGAGCAAGATGTTCTAGTCCCATTGGTAAAGCGCTTATCTGCTACACCGAGAGGCTGCTGTATAAGTCCAGTTAACAGTTGCTGTGTAACTATCTCAACACGGCCGATACATGTTCGACTAGATTAAGATTACACGTTGCTATTGCTTTACAGACGAATCTTTTTGGCTCTAAGATTTTCGTACGTGATGTATACGTGTCACCAAACCAGGCGATTGTACGAGTGCAGCCTTAATCTTTTATTTTTCAAAGGTTCATTAACGTTTGCAGGTGCACAAGGACTTCTTAATTTGCGCACAATCCAATTACTTCCATCGGAAATTGTGGAGTACCTAGACCATTCGATGAAAGAAGATGTCACATCATGCGTTCTCCCTATGCTGCACAACTATGGCTACTCACTTCTGCACCGGTGTTTCTTTGACCCGAGTGCCAGCAGGAGCGAGCGACAAAGAATTTGATACATGATTTGGCTGCGCCATCGAAATGCTCGTGGCTTGCTGCTGCAGGCGCCAGCGCTCAAAGGAAAGTACTGCCTGACGCCGCCATTCGTTTATTAGTGGACCCGTTCCTACGTCTCTCACTTACAAATACAAAAAGAAAATATCGACAGTAAGTCACTAGCCATGACTCGCCATTAATTGTGTCTCGTATGGCGTTCGACCATACGCACTGCCACGCGCCAGATACAATGGGGAAACCGATACCAAATGGCGCTTGCCAATACTTCGCTTCATCAATATCGATGGCGGGATCTCGTCGCCAAGTCATGACATAGAGTCTGGGCAATTCGTTAGACATTTGATAAATTCCCAAATATCTTGGTGGTAGCCTGTGCGTCGAAGTAGAACAAAAAAAAACAAAGTTTCACCGATAATACGAGAAGGTGAATATTTTCCAAGTGAACATCTTGTTTCTGTCTTCTGAGCTCGAATCACAGTGATCGACCTTTTAAATGTCGACTTGAACACGAACACGAATCTCATTCTACAACGCTTGTACGTGATCAAGCGCAAGCTCGTGTACGACACGCGAATCTAGCAACGGGACTTGCTTGCGCAACATATCGTGTCTACTTCTGTCAAATACGTATCCAGGCGCATTGGTGCACAACGGCTCGGCCTCCAACCAAGAGTGTATCATAAAAATCTATACCCTGCACATGGCAAGCACTCGCCGTATCCGTCAGAGCGACTGTCGTTTGGCTACCTAGCAACCCACGGTCATATTCTATCTGGGGGTCAATCGGCGCCTTCCCATAGACTTAACGGGTGACTCAGTCATTTCCGACACTAATCTCGCTACGTCAGCAACAGCACCAGCACCAGCACCAGCACCAGCACCAGCACCAGCACCAGCACCAGTAGCAAAAGTAGCGCACTGCGTCTTTTGCGCAAGCCACCAGTGCGCTGAAGCGCACAATGAAAAAGGCAAAAAAAACGCAAAGAACAAGGTTTTACGCTCTAGCACAGATACACGTATAGTTTGCATTCGGCTTTCAAAAGCCGACTCTAAAACTGCTGTACAAATCCGACACCGCGTTCTCGATCTCCACGTTCTATTGTTCGACTCATACAAATTCTTCATTTAGCTGCTTTAAGCCCCGAAAAAGCCTTGACAGCTGACAGGTTTTATGACTGTACCGAACAAAAAGAGAGGTTTGCTTAGTGAGGCTGGTCGACGGTACGAAAATTTTGCTGCAAAAGACATTTGTAGAGAAAATAATCAGAACGCTTACTTAAGCACAAAAAAAAACACGGAAAAGTATTTTCTACGTCTTGCTTCCAACCGCCTCTCGGAACTACCATACAAGGCAAAGAGCGAGCTGTGATTCATTTTCGAGCGGTAAAATCTACGCTTACAAAAAACCATACAGCTGTCAAACGGATCTGACGCTGGTTTCGCGAGCGTATTAGGCAGTAAAAAGCACTCGCGCATCGAAGTTGACTTCTGAGATCTCATGGTTAGACTACAGCTACAATTTCTCGATGGTATCGCTTAGATTAGCTACTTCCAGGGGTTCCAGTCCATGGACGATGTGTCTGAGTAAAGAGTGTGAATGATTACATAAAGAACGGCGACCGGTTCCTCTACCTGAGAAGCGTCCGGGCACAAATAAGATCTTGACTGGGTCTGACTTCTTTGAGAAAAGAGTCAACAAATATACTAAAGGCGACGAAGGCATCGCTACCATCGAAGTGTTGGAAACAACGCTGAACGACAAGATACAGCGCTGCTTCTTATGTCATCATCACCTTAGCACCTACTATCTACAGTCATGACCAATGAATTAAGGGCCTCATAGATATCCGGTCGAGTACATTTTAGCGTATCACAATTTCACATGAAAACGCTAGCGATGTGCAGTGACAAGGACGTTGACTAAATACTTTCAAGTCGCTCTGATGGTCGAAAGGGTTCAAGTCTTATAGCCAATCGCTGCTGAATCTTCAGGTCGCTGTCAACTGAACTTCGTCAAAATTTGGCAGGTGAATGCTGTCTCAAACATGTTTTCTTACCATCTGAAGCAGCATTAGCGTCCTCAAAGTGAGCATCAATGGCATAAGTTGATCATCTCTCTTCAAGGAAAACATAGTGTTGAAGTATTTCGTGGCAAGCTTTCAAAAATCTGAGTCTTTCATCTCCCCAGCTTCAAGCAGAAGGCCTTCGTGGACAATACCAATTCAATGCATTATCGACCGCGCGCTGCCAAAAAATGAAGTGCTTAAAGGATTCAGTCAAACGCTAAAAATTCTTATCTACTTTAATAATGTGTACAGCTACGGGCAAAAAAAGAAGCAGCACTATTTGCTAATCGAATTTTGATGAATACGCGACACAGTCATATATCACAGCAGAAAACGCGTCTTCACCAGTCTACTCTCGCATTAAAACTAACTAGAATATATCATCATATCGGACAGATTTTGCGCGCACTTTAGCGACGACTTAAAGCGCTTCATGTCAAAGTATGCAGGCAACCTTCTCGGGCAAATTGTAAGCTTTCGGTCAGTTGTTCAGCTGTATAGTCGAGGATGCCTAATCTCCCTCGCTACTACTATATATGCAGTCGTGGTGAGGGCGATTGAGAGAAAGCTGAGTGTCACCGCAACCCCGGGCGAGGTTTCGAAGAAGTGGAAAGCTATCTGAGAACGCCTGGAAAAATTGTTTAGCGACAAGTCACAACAGCATTCAAGGAGGCAAGGGGGGTTTTGCAGCTTGAAGAGCAGGTTCACAAAAAAGTCGATGCCCAACGAAAAGTCGCTACATGTTTCACTTAGCAAATCTAAAGCGTTTGCGGTCACGGTATCTCTTCTACTTTATGCTGAAGCCAGCCATGCTCATACTTTTAAGCATCTACCATTCATTTCAATCATAGAACAAGGCAAAGCATTAATCGTTAATAAGAGGCGCGTTAAGCCGCACGAGTATCTCATTTACCCGAGGAATGTGATAGCATCGCATACATCAAGTTACTAACGCCAACAGTGCCAGTGCAGACTATCTGGAAGATTTACACAAACTTTCAGGGGGTCCTGGCATGCATGTAATAGGGGTTTCAGGTGCCCTGGTTTGAAGGGTGTGGGCCACACAAGACGGTGTGATCACAAAATAATGTAGGTCACACAACGGTGTGGCCAAACAAAAATACAGCTTTAAGCTAAACGGAGGAGGTAATAAGCCTTGAGTTTTGGTTGAAGTTACTCTTTGAGTACGTGGATTGCGATTCGCTACACTCGTACTGGTTTTTAGTATAGAGCGAAGGTCTCCGGCCTTAACCAAGCTTCCTCTAAGCGAAAAAGCTACGTTAGCCTCGCGGCAAAATTACTTTCAATGCGGAGTGTGATAGTATATTATGTACGAGGAACAAGCCGGGAGCGTATCCCCGACATAATTTGTACCTAAACAATAGAACAATGTTTTTTTTGCTTCGGTGCGTTTGGACTGTCGTCACAGCATCAACGAGAGTAATGGCAATTGCGGCATACGAGCAAAAATAAGTATCTTCAGTAGTTGATGTGGTGGCATATAAGACAGATTGTTGTTTGACCTCATAAGTGGAACACCACCCTTGAGAATGATGCCAGCTGAGGGAAACGATAACTGACGTAGTGGATATATTCTGATGCACTAAACTTGAGAACTTGTGCCAAAAAATGTCGACTCGCGACACTTATGACCGTGATGACGCAGCATTAATCTTTTCAGCCGTAAAATGTGGTAATCCATTGTGGTAAATCTTTGACTACAATTATATTTTTGTTATCGACACATGTACGTTGCTGTCCTGTATCAATTACAAAAGATGAAACCACATGTATTTAGGTATTGATCTATTAGAATTACCCTCAACGTGCGCGGAACAGCTACCGGCTGTGAGGTTTCCAGTATTGCTGAAGTTGTATCTGCAAATTTCAGCTATCCTTGATCACAACAAAACCTGAGAGAATAATCGTCGATTCTGGCTGACACAAACGACTGGCGTTTACGCCATTATATCTTGACTTGTAGGTGAATAATTACTCTGTTATAGCACCGCTTTTAGTCATCTTCTTTTTACGTTTTATATCAATTACGCAGCAGTTCCGACGCTGAGCCGGAACAAATGGAAATGTTTTCCACTTTAGCAAATCTGGGCTGTGCGACTCATAACGCTCTCTCAGATCTTGGTACACGGATGTGATCAGATTGTGTTTATACGACAGCCCTGGACGCTATAAGAGAAGAGAAGGGTGTGCTGGTGTTGATTTAGTAGAATAAATGGCAAGTACTATACAGGGAAGTTTTCTTCCAGACCATCCAAATTTTCCTGTGCGAGAAAGACCACGGTGGACACTTCCTATAAACTTTTATTATCGAGGGGTATTTGATTTACCTGCAGACAATCGCAGCATGTTTTGGGCGACAGTGTGCTCACGTTTGCTAATAAATGTACGAATGTGTTCGAATAAGTTTGATTGTAATCTTAGAGCGGCGGTTAGCAGCTGTGGGCTAGTGTCTTGCGAGCATAAGAGAGTTGCGACTAGTTCTTGAGTTGAGTACTTGATACCGGTGTTTAAAACTTGTTTTCTGCTACATAGAGGCTGTAGTATATACCACGATCGGATCACAACCTGTTTTATTGTACTTTGCGATTGATGTCTGGAATATCTTTCGCAAAATGCATTTAATTGATGAGGAGTTACTGCAACAACCTGTCGTGAAACATTTTAAAAGCAGCTATAAACGATAACAAACATACAGACTGTCGCTTAATCGAAGGGAGAAGCGGAAAGCCTCTTATGTAACCAGGTACTGATTGACACTTACAGCTGACATATATCGAAAATATGAATAGCTTCAACAGAAATTATACGTATCTGATACCCTATGTACATCATTAGGCTAGCGCCCCAGGCATCCTGTGGATCTCTCCTGTCTAAGGTGCTCTCCATTCAATCTGATCCACTACTAGTAATGATACTTTGTCACAGCGCAATTTTTTAAATTAACTCTGGGCCCGCGGAATAATAGCGTCAATTGTGTGAGGTGTACGCAAATTGTGCAACATATGCTCCTCATTACGCTACTGTCACCGAATTGTGTACAACACAGAAGTCTGACTAATGTTGTCTTTCTATAGCATCGCAGAATACTGGCATCAAGGAATCATATCCGTTACGTCCCTTCATGGCAGAACAAGCCACTGACCACGACGCTGCCTCCGAGGCATACATGTGAGGCAGCCAAAGTGTACTCTGAACATGACGGCCATGGTCATATTTGGGTTTCCGGCGTAGCACATTTTCCATTTCTAAGATATAATTTCTGCCAAGGTGGAGAGTTTACCTTCGCATCGCCTCTATTTTGTACGGTTTGTGCATTCTGTGGGAGCTCCTACGATGGAGATGTTAAGGCACCTCGCGACGGAATTCACGATGACACCCAGTCGAAATTAGCTGGAGCTGAATCAGCAAGTGCAGGATTCGCAACGATGTTTGGAGACGCACCACTTCGCGATTATAAATTCAGTCAATTATAAATGCTTATCACTCCTTGCACGGTTTCTGACCCCCTAGTCACAACTGTCGCAACGAATAGAGCAGCAGAGGCTATGTTTATTCAGTTATACGGAATACCGTACCGTGCCAGCATGGGAAGGCGAGGAGGACGATAAAGTGAGGCAACGGCGCAACGTGAGCCCAGCTTGAACCTTGCCGACACCATGTCCGTTCCCAGCTTCCGGAAGTAAAGTGTTTTTATTACCAATCGCCTTGACGAGGCTCATGAGAAGCATATAAAGGCTGCTCACAGGGTGGCTCTCCTGAGCTCGTATTCACGTTTGGTCTTAGACCTCGTGTAGGGTATTGCTTCCGTTTGGCATACCCCGCTACTACAGCAAAAGACGCGATCACTCGGTCGCTAGACGTCTACGCAGTCGGGCTCCCGGCCACTGCACAAGCTGAGCTTGACCAGCGGAAAACTCCAAGCTTGCTTTTTGGCACCACAAGAGATATCAATGGATCGGTACCGCGCTTGACTTCGAGCTCGGAAAGAAGCGCTCCTGTACCCGCAATGCGGACTATTGCTGTAGTGCTCGCCCCTGGCTAAGTCGCAGCAAATGATGAGGAGCTCTTTGAGCGATGGGTACAGCGGCACCAGAAACTTACCTAGCTGTCTACCTTATAGCGAATCCACAAGGAAGTGGACGTGAGCGTAGAGCGCTATCTTTGATTCATGTTTGCCAAACTTAAGGCGCAACGCCGATTTCCTGCTTATTGTCGCACTGCGACATATGAGATCCATAACGCTCCCGCGAGCTCTGTTGTTTCTCATACGGATGAGTGTACAACCACAGCAGCTTAGGGCCAAAGCTTGAGCTCAGCTCGCGACCCTTCTACTTTCCGAGCTAATCCTGAAAAGCCGACGACGCGAAGCGCCGTGATCCGTCCGATCATAAGCATCCACGACGTATGGGCAATCTTGCCGAAGTGGCACCCCAAACGCCCAGGAATTCCGCCTATTCCTTCTGCTTTCAGCCATTGCATCGCGAACGTACTCAGTCTGGTAAACAGGAAGTCTCTGACCTCTTTACGCACTATGAGAGGGCTGACAACAGCTAGCCGCTCGGCTAATCCTTCCCATACAAGCTCTGAGCCATGGATGGCGGCGTCAGCAGGACACGAGGATTAACAAGCCCGTTCGTAGAACGGCGTGTAGCCGATAGATGAATGTAATGCATTGTTCAGAGCAAACTCTACGAGTGGTAACATAGCGCTCCAGCGCTTCGGCGGCTTAGCACAGCCGCTGCGAGGAACGTCATCAGCGACGCGATTCACGCGCTCAGTCTGATTCCGCTGTTGACATAGTCAACTTGGTGCCCAGTACCCTGTAGTTTGTAGACCAAACTTCCCAGTGAAGCGCTGGTCTCTATTAGAGACAATTGGCTCCAGGAGTCCATGTTGTCGAAATACACGATCGAGAACCAGCGTCGCTGTACCCACACCGTCGATGGTGGCCGGCACTGCCGCAAGCTGAGCCATCTTGCTCAAACAGTTCGCAAAGACCACCACACCCGTGCTTGACGAGTCCTTCGGCAGGTCAAACACAAAGTCTATAATCATGGACTGCCAACACCCGAAGGGTACCGGTAGACTGACAGGCGGCAGAGCCGCGCTTCGAGACGTTTTATCCTCTGATGTGTGTGACACGTGCGCACATATATTCTCGTCCATTTGTACAGCTTGTGCCACCAATAGTGGCAACTCACCGAGCGATACGTCTTCTCACGACCGAGATGACCACTGAGTTAGGTGTCGTGGGCCTCATAGATGATACGGTATTTCAAATTCTTACCGTGATGAACCACAAGTCGTGGCGAATCCGTTGAATCGTTGCTATAATACAGCAGCCCGTCATTTAATGAGTATCGGTGTAATCGTGCGCGCAAACGCGCCGACAAGTTCTTGTCCGAGTTTTCAAACTCCTTGCTTCCGAGAGCATGTAGCAGCGCTACACCGGCGCGGATCTAATCCGTCACTGACGACGTCACTGTCGTCACATGAGCAAGCTCATAATCCGGTCTGCGTGACAACGCATCAGCCAAAGCATTCTGCTTTCCTGGACTATACTTCACCTCCAAGTTATGTTCTGCAAAGAATGAGAGCCACCTGGCTATCCTCTGCGATGGGTGAGCCAACGAGTCGCAGTTCGTAATGACGCATGATCTGTGTAGATCACAAACGGCTTTGAGCCAAGCAGTTGCACCCTGAACTTGGCAAGTTCATCCTTCATCGCAAGTAATTCTTTGTTGTGGACTGGATAGTTCCTCTCCGCAGCCTTAAACTGGCGAGATTCAAACGCGATCACCCGCTCGCCCCTCGGTGTCTGAGAGCAGACACATGTACAATACTAAAAGGACGATCGGTGTCTGGCAACGCCAGTATTGGTGCATAAAGGTGGCTGTCATTGACCCTGTCAAAAGATTCCAATTGGTCGGCCTCCAAACACCATCCCGTATCATTCTTTAGGAAATTCGACAATGGTCGTACCATTACTGCATAATTTGCGCCAAAGTTGCGCAAGTAGTTGGCGAGGCCATGCATCTTGTGCAAGTCCTTTTGATTTCTTAGAGCCAGTCAGTCACCAATGGCCTTGACCATTCCGGAAGCCACTCGAAGGCCACGCTTCCCAATTAAGTACCCTGAAAGGGGAGATCTTTCGAATGAAGATGCACTAATCGGCATTAGCATAGAGCTAATTTGTGCTAATGCTTTCGAGCACCGCACTCAAATGGGCGATGTGGTCTTCCTCATTTGTTCTCCCGTGCCCCGCACGACTGTAGAGAATGATGTCGTCGAAGTATGTTTGTGCATACGCCCTGTGGGGCCTGAATAATTGCGTCACTCCTCTCACGATTGAATGTTGCTGGTGCACTTGACAGCCTTTGGGGTCTCACCAGCCACTCTCAGAGCATTCCGCTCGGAGTACTCACCGCTGTCAGCAAAATATCACTCACTCTCACGAGCAATTGGTAATAACCATCGACCAAGTCTAGCGCGCTGTACTTTATACAGCCAAACATATTGTTCTGAAGGGTATCCTTTCTAGGAATCAACATCTGGTTGGAATGTTGGCAGCGTTTAGCTTAATTTAAGCGTAATCGATACACCACTTGCCGTTCGGCTTCCTGACACAAAACATGGGTGTCGAATGGGATGTCTTACTCTCATGCACCGTTCCTGCGTCGTGCATCACATGGAAAAGGTGTCACTGACGTCACACTGCTCCTTGGGCAGGAGCCATTGGTGTTTTATGCAGTATTTGGCTCGAACCAGATCGATCTCATGGCGCTGACTACAGTTCGGAGGTAGGACCGACGGCGGGTCTTTGGAGACGATGTCTTGGTGGCTGTCAGACAAACTTAATTTGCGCCCTGAGTGAAAAAGAATCATTTTATCCTCCTCATGGCTTTATAAGCCAGCTACAGCAAAGCGGTCGTTTGTCTGAACCGTCGACTTTACGTAAAACCCCATCACATCCAACTCCTGTTCGTTGCAGCAGCTACCAGCCACATATCAAGCTCGCCACAAATAAATCCCCACTCACAAATGAAAATAGTCACGCGACGGACAACCCCGCTTCAACAGAGAAATAAAACCCAAGGGTGCGCCAAGTTGTAACGGTAACATGACAGGGCATTAATGCCGTGGTGTAACTCCCCACCACCACCTTAAGTTTGTCAATCACGCGTATATTTTCCGCAGACCTGTCATCAGCCATGATGTGCCCGCCGGCCCGTTTAACATTTCATATGAAAGCTAGCCACCCCTTTTATCGTGGATTATAACGGGGGCCAACGGTCTCGCCCCTATTTTACTGGGACTATCTTGGTATGGCGGCAAGTCGAATCGCTCCGAGCGTTTCGGTGTGGGTCCAGTACTGAGATGTGTCAGTTCACGAATATGCTCTCTTAGCCTCGTTATCGCGGTGCGTAGCCCGAAGCATCCCTAGAGTTTTAAGAATGCGTCATTGTACTATAGATTAGCAATATAGGTTGTTGAGACGCTGCTCCGTCTATAACATAGCATGTCACGTTCGACTCGCTCGTAAGAGCGGGTTCGTGATATGGCTTTATCAAGCACATGTAGATGACAGGATTTGTTTGCTTCGGGATGTTAAGTGCTTAATTCAAACTATTTTCGCTACGACCTTGAACGGTTCGATGATGCCTGGTTGCAGCTTCGTCATAGAGACAACAGATATATGATTTTGTTGGTATCTTAAACAATATACCAAAGTGTTCGTATTGCAAGAAACAATGTTATCAGCGAAAGAACAGACAACAAGGCAGCTCTAAACAAAATTATCAAAATCATAACGATCGCGCCATATTAAATGAGTCTGTCTACAAAGAAACGATTGCTACAACGTCTCATGAAGCTATCACAACACTTAGTGAAATTGAAATCGCAAACTATACTGGAAAAGATTCAATCATCAAGAAAGGAAGTCATGATGATCGTGCTGTCAATATTATGCTGGACTCAGGTGCCACGTGCAATGTGGTCAAGCCAGGGTTTTTACAATATTCATTCTGAAGAAGCAATTTAAGTAATTCGTTTCGACGGCAGCAATACAATACAGAAGAAAGTAGAGAAAGGGTTTGCAGATATATCTTTGAAGGAAATGGAATTTTAGACGTTCCGGTCATGGAATGGTCAATGACCAGTATTTCACATGACGTTATTTGGGCAAACCTTGGTTTTCAGCTCATGAATCAATTATTAACTGGCGTACGCATCAAGTCTCATTGATGTGTACACATCTTATTCGACAATCGACCATCATGTAATATCAGCGTCAGGTTTTTGAAGAAATTAATGAAGGCACAATATGAAGAAGTATATTGTATCAAAATTTGCCAAGCCTCCGATACGAATGAGCCAAGCGATCCGTAACTGCAATCATTGCTGAATTCATTTAAAGATGTGTTTCCCAAGAAATTACCAGATGCTTTACCGCCACATCCTTCGGTAGAGTTTGGAATGACCATGGAACCAGGAGATCAGCCCAGCAATCGACCACCATCTCGACTATCCGAAGTGGAACAAGATGCTCTACAGAAGTTTGTTGACGAAAACCTATCACGCGATTGGATTGAATTATCTGACACGTCGTGGGTATCCAATATATTTGGTATACCAAAGAAGGATCCAAAGGCAGGATTTAGTGTTTCTCGTTCTGAATGGATTCGCTCTGGTAACTCTAGCATATTGTTTCGATGGGTTATTAATTTTCGGCATGTCAACTCTCAAACCATTGTTCCAAAGATTCTCTTGCCACGTAGTAATGAATTATTTCACAAGATGCAAGGAAATTGTTATTTTACTGTGATCGATTTGGTATAAGGTTATCATCAAATGCGTATCCATCCAAATAGAAATAGCAAGAAGTACACCGCATTTCGTACAAGGAATAAATTATTAAAAAAATTGTACTTTTGTTGCCGTAAACTTGGATGATATCTGTGTGTTTTTTTTTTTTTACTTACGCTGAACATTTTAGTTTAATTGAAGATATTATTTCAAACACTCTCCTATCTCGTATCTTTATTTATCTGAGTCTCAAAACATTTGTCGAGTAATTGATCGAGCTTTCTTAGCCTGGGATACAGCTTTGTGGCGCTCGTTTATCAATAGTAGATTAATTAGATGTTTTCATTTTTCGTTTTTGTTTGAGATTTAATGGAGTGTAAGAGAGTAGTGGCCGTTACGACAGTACTCTAAGTTGCATCATAATCATTTGGAAGATAACCAAACTTATTATTTACAAGTGACGCAGCGATATCCACTGATTTCATTATCGAGCAATCACATCAAATCTTACACAGTTGTATGCGGTAGATTGTTCATAATGAGTTGAATGATTGAATGATGAAAGCACAGACAATTGTAGTGAATGAAGCACCTGAAGAAACAGTGCTCTATTCGTCATTCGTTTTAAAAAAAATTTGAGCCAACGCTTGAGGTAAGTCGAGTAAAGTGGGAAGATGATTGCGAAATTTAGTATTTGAAGTACCATTTGAAATCAGCTGGAATCGTAGAGTGACCGCAGACACAGGGAGAGTAAGGCCAGGTTAAGGCAGATGTTGCCGCGCTACCGCTTAAAACTCTAGGCACTGGGCAAGTGTTTCTAAAATTCATTCTTATCAAACTTACAATTGTAGCAGGTTTTACATGCCAAATGTAATGTGTTTAAGGTATACAAATCAGCGTTACTTTGGTGATATAATCTAAGACATCGCGATTGCGCGACGAAGAATGGTAAACAGTCATAGCCTTAAGGCTCTAAAAACAAATTCATGATTTGCACTGCCTCCTGCCACATCGAGTGTGTTCAAATTTTGCTGATTATAAGCGGTGAAGATCTATCGTTTGGCGGTCGGTGTTCGCGTGATATTGTTAGTGGTAGTCGTAAGTGATGAAGTAGACAAGTCATCGAGCCCTTTTGCCGCTCTGTTAGTGTCTTGAATCGTTGTAGTGGAATATAAATCCAGTATAAGGTAGTGACTGCACTATGTCTGACATACGTATTATAACCCGCTTGGCCGATTTACTGGATCGTTCATGCAGTACTTTCATCAATAACAATCTGTACATTGTGATTGAGCTGTCATGCTCCGACTTCAGTTTAACAGAACAGACAGCAGTCGAACTGAGGAAGTTGATAGTGCACTGCCTCTCTGTACTGATTTTGAAATATTCTGATGATAATGGACAAATATATTGAATTTCATAGAAAAAATATGAATGACTCAGACCGCATGCTGCTGCAACGCATCATGGTACTCTCTTGCATCTATCTTTTGCAAGGTTAAAATCATTTTTTACCTGCATTGATATGCTGTGCTTCATGTAGGCGGCAGGCGTGATGGAAGACAAGGAAGTAAGGTGCTTAGCTAGAAAACTTACTGGCGAAAGTAAGTAATTTGTTCGTAAGAAGTTTGTCGTTCGCCGTTGAGAAGTGACATGGCATAGACATGACAGCCTCCGACGTGATACAAATGGTGAATAAAGTGGCGGAGAATATTAGACCGTTCGCACTTGATGTGCGTCGCGGCATGTATGATGACGGAAAGATGTATTTGGCTGTAGTGAATACGGTAATGCCTTATTTGATTGATTGATACGATATTGCCAGATTACTTATGTCATACTCTCGATACACTTATCTTTAGAGTAATGATGCACTCACAGCTTTTGGCAGCAACTTTAAGCCTTGGGAAATTGTGTTCTTTCGAAAAGTTGTGGAAGAAATTGTGGACACGTGGGATCAGTACTAGAAGCAATTTAATTGTGTATTGCTGACGTATTTGTTGTGATGTATTGCATTTAGAGAAGAAGGAGCTCTGGAGGAGGCAACTCTATACAACCTTCGCAAAAGCCCAACCACTTTGAATGAAGTAGAGGAGCTTCTTCGCAAGCTTACCGCTGAAAAATGGATTGCTCTGAGTGCCGTACAATTACAGACACGCAGCTTTACACTTGGACCACGAGGGTTTCTCGAGCTGATTGCATTTTTGCGCGACTTGCAAGTCAAAAAATGCCCAATTTGTCAATATGAATTGCTTCAAGGAGTGAAGTGCCAAGACAGAAAATGTGAGACCATCGTTCACTACAGCTGCGTTGACAAGTATGAGAAGAGTGGTGTATGCTACAAATGTCCTATTTGCAAGCATAAGCTGCGACGATCACCGCATTGCGCTTAAACAATTTTAAAGCTCGATAAAATAAATTTTAACTTTTACCCATATCGTGTGGGTGTATAGCTAGTTGTATCTGAAAGGGAGTTGGAGTCGTACGGCAGCAACGCTGCAGCTACTGGACGGTCCTCGGCGTTTAGAATATTAAATGTAGCGCAAGCGTTAACTGTATCTAGGTATTCCACCACAATGCCGTTCACCTTCAGCATTTCTTTCAGCTCCGGATCCAGTCCATGATCGACCCTCTCTCCACATCCAAGCACTAAGATCTCTGTTGCAATAAATTTCTTCAGTTCATACATATATATGTTATAAGACGTATTTAAATACCAACCGATCGGAGGGTTGAAGACCAAGAAGACAGATAAATGTTCTCGCGTGATCTCTTTAATTTTCTTTGGCTTCCACAGCTGCAGCAAAAAGCGCATAACATTTAAAGCACCCTCGTGGCGTTAGCACTTGCACTTAATTTACCATGGCAATCTCAGAAAAAAGCGCAACTCCACCGCGCATGTTCTGCAGACACAATATGACATTAGTGATATGACTGAAATTTTACAATAATTTCTACTTACAATGTCATTGATGATAAAACCTCCACTGTCGTACTCAGTCACGGAGATCTTGGCTGTGCCATTAAGCATTTCCTACCCGTGCAAAATTGTTTCGCATTAATAAGCACCAATTTAATGTACAATGCATTTAGCATTATCAACCTTATGCATGTCGTGGCCATAATTGATCCAGCGACAATGTTGTGCATTGTGCCGCGTTGCTGCGTAAAGATTACGCTGGAGGTTCAGTAAGTAGCGGCTCATATTTTAATACCTCTTATTTCAGAATAAAAAGGTGGTATTTATGTAGTTGCAAATGTACCCAATTTGTAATTTTGACATAACCTTGAAATTGTGACATGACTACGCGTCACTCGGCTATAGTTCTGGTAAATGATAAATGACTTATCTTTAACTCGATTAGGCTGGTCATACCTCGTTACCGCAGAAATGTTTGGTCGTCATTTACGTACCGCCATTACAGCAAAGTTGCCGTGCTCCGTGCACGTAGGAAGCTTTGACTATCAGAGTCCGCGTTAGGTAGCGCGCAGGAAAAGAGTTGCTAACTTGGTGCCTAGTTGGCTCTGCTATTTTAAGAGTACATATATTTATTATATGCTATCAAGGATAATACATATATTTGTTTGGCTGTCCATGCAGCAGGGCTGCCGTAGCTCTTTGCTTAAAGGAAGCTAAGCTAAGGTTACCGACCTTGTGTTCTTTCCAAGAACCAGTACAAGTGCAGCGGATCGCAATCTGTCACTTCAAAGTGCTAAAAAGCTTAATTAAGGGTGCACGAACACTTATGTTCAAAAATTGAAACTGTATTTGATAGTTCTGGTTTTGGTAGAGCCGCCAATATCTAAAGCCCTAGATTTTTCTAATTAATTGAGTAATACCTACTTAACATAATAAATACTAATCTAGATAGTAATATGAATTACTACTGGCAATCCTGCCATGTGGTGGCATCGTTTTGTTACGGTGTAGTCACACCACTGTGTGATTACACTCACACCTATGCAGGTCATCCCATTTTGTGCGGCCCACCCTTTCATACAAGGGTACGTGTAATCCAGTTACAATATGGCTCAACGAACTCGATAACCTCGCGAAAAAAAGCTGTCTGAGAAATATTCGGTGGTAGAGCCAAGTTGGTTCCTGATCAGAGTCATTGCATTGACTCTCTGAGTTCTGAAACGAGACCTTCGCTCTCATGCAGATAAACTACGCATAGCTGCTTACTGAGGAGGAGGCGTTTACTGACTTGTCTTCTCTCTGTACGAATTTAGATTCCGTTCCCTATCCCTGCCGTGCGCAACTTGCGATTCCTCAATTTTAACTTCAGGCTCCAGTTGTTTCTGGCTTAAATTGTGAATAATTTGTTGTTGTTTATCCATAACTTGTAAAAGATGTTGCATGATCTCGGTTACAGATGGTTTGGCCATGATGAATAAGGTAATAACTCGTTTACCAGATAAAAAAACTTACTTTTTAGCTTTATCCAGACGTTTGGAAAGAAGTGAAGCTAGTCGGCGAGATTTCTTGACGAAAGAGAGAAGATCTTGCGCGATTTTTAAAGCTTTGTCACCAGAGCGGAAGACGATACCTATTTCACAATCAAATGGAATTTGAGATCTAGCACGGCGCTTCTTGCCCGTAGTACGCACACGACTGACTTGGGCCTACTTCCTTTTACCGAAGGTCCTGACACAATTTAGTTAGTGAGAAAGTGTGAGTCGGCTTGTGCATACACGACTTGAACCTTCCGAAAATGGGGATATTTATCAACCCGGGTCCAATCTCGATACCCAACCGAGTGACTCTATCAGCTAGAGCAGGCTCTCAGAGGTGCAGGTAGACATTGATCACCACACACTCGACGGTACTCCACAGCGCTTCTAAGCCAGAATAAGGGACGGCAATACCCAGGGGCACCCAACGAGGAACTTGACGACGAAATGCGACCAACAAGTGCTACCACCTGTCACGATCGTTCGCACTTATGAAGTGTTGGGCGGTAGTCGGCTAATTAAGAAGTGAGATTATTTGCTGGACTGTCTCCTACGATATATGTAAACTATCCTAATTTTTCCTACTGATTCTTGTATGCATGTCGTTCCTCCTATGGCATGGCTTTTCCTTTATCTGGTGGATGAATCAAGGCAGCTAGTGATACTTCTGAGCAGCTTACCGGCGGATTTTTTCTACTGTGGAGAACGCCAAGAATATCACTCTGATCAAAGTTAAATGAAATCTGTTGAAGGAGTCTGACAGGCTATAAAGAAGGAAGCAAGTGAAAAAGTGTTTCGTGCCACAGGCAATGACGGACGGATCAAGGGCAGACGAGGAAAAAGTCGCAAGAATTACGCGCCACGCATGGACGGCGGGCTTTCGAAGCAAGTGATTCAATTGTGACCAGACTGGTCATATGAGACGGGACTGCCCAGCTGAGAACCATTTCAGAAAACGTTTCAGTGGTAATGATGCAGTATTTGCGGTGGGGGAGGAGCAATCAGCAAGCTGGCTGATTGACGGTGCGGCGTCACACATGATCCCTCACCGAAGTGACTTGATCGACTTTTAGTGACTTGAGGCCGACGTCAAGGTGACGATTGCAGACGACAGGAAGTTATGCGTCAAAGGAGCTGGAGCAGTGAAGCTTATCGACTTAGACGGAAGACGCATATCGGTGATGGAAGTGCTGTTTATCTCTGGACTTGACCGACATTTACTGTCGGTAGGAAAGCTTGCCGAACGTGGAGTTTCAGCATGCTTCGTTCACCATTTGGGACAAGAACTATGCTGTGGCAACACAAGAAATGGGAAAGCTTACACACTGGATTGCCAGCAATAAGAGGCACAATCGTTGCAATACTCGTGAGCTGATAGTCAGTGAAAGCTGTGGCAAGCTCGTATGGGAAACCAAGCGAGGATTTTTAATGAAGACTTTGCGATCCACCGGAGGTATGCCTTCGCTAAAAAAAGAATCAAGAGTTCGTGCGGTGGATGGATGAAGAGCAAGCAGACGATTAAAGCCTTTCCAAGACGCTCCATGACAAAAACGTCACATGTATTGGAATTAGCTTATATGGACGTGATGGCTCATCAAGACACTTTCGAAAGGAGGTGCTAAGTACATCTGACTTTTGTGAATGATTATTTACGATATGTGGTGGCTTACTTTCTGGCGAAGAAGAGTGAAGTTGCTGACAAGATCAAG